AACACGTAAAACTGTAAGAATCCAGACGTTGAGTTTCTCGGGGCCCACAAAATTCAACGGACTGGATTTGTTATGATTGAAACGCGTCGTAGAGGAGAGTTGCCTTTGAAGTGTGTGAATTGTGATCTGTAAAGGTCACCTGGGAGGTGTGAGGCGGTGACTGTTAACTCGAAATGATTTTGAGAGGTGGGGATGGTTTTTGTAACCACTAAAACCTGCTGGGGTCAATGATGCCCATGATCCTGTCCGTCGAATCATTATACCATCTGAGGATAACTGACGGTTGTGATTGCCATCACGGAAAGTAGTGCCTTTTGGTTGTAGCCTCTGCACTGACCCATGCAACATCTAATCATCCAACACAATATCATCTCCTTCTTTTATTGGATTAAACACATTTATAATACACACAAAATATACATATTATACACAAAATTTTCACATATTTTTGAATTAAAATAATATATATTAAAATATTATATAATGGGCAAACTTTTCAGTTGTAACTTACCAAAATTTTGTCGGAATAAACACATACATATTATATTCATATTTTTTGCGTTCTGTATTTTACTAACTATGAAAGAATGTGGGAGGCTAAGATTATTTCTTACTTGTTGTAACAAAAATGCAAGATGGTGATTTTGCAATTTCTTTGCCAACCAAAACAACAATTTCAAACAAATATTTATGGATATAATAGTAAGAGATGATGTAGTATTTTTCATGTAAAGTGTTTGAAAATTGAAGTAATTACCAAGACCACTCCAACTCGGCGTGCAATTCTCTACGACAAATAATGTGTACAGAAACAGAATTTATTAGCACTCGAGAGAGTGAGGTAGATCAAAAGCAAACATTCTCACAAAAAAATATATATATATATGAAAAAATTGAACACTCAAATTGATTTACTATGAAATTTCCCACTTCTCATTATATGCTTTGGATATGTCGAAAGAATATACCATAATATACATTAGGGTAATTTTATTAGCACCCCCAAATTTGATCTTTGCACCCTATATTCTCCTTACACCCCACTAAATTGTAGTAAATTTTAAAATTATTCACTACACCTCATATTTCTTCCTAGATTGCCCTCATGAACCTCATTCCTTAACTTACCTATGCAAACCCCACTGAAATCATTACTTTGTTCAGTGGTAGTCCATCGAATTTGTTTTCGTTTTTCAGTGGCTATCCACCGACTGTGTTTATGTTTTCAGTAGTAGTCCACCGAATCTGTTTCAGTTTTTTAGTGGTAGTCCACCGAATATATTTCCATTTTTCAGTGGTAGTCTATTGAATTCATTTTTTGTTTCATTGATTTCGTTTCTTGTTTCAGTGATCATCTACCGAATTCGTTATTGAGTTTGTATTTAATATTGTTTTTTATTAGGAATGTGAGCACCTTAGGTGCATGTTGAAGACATTTACCCTTCGTTAGTGAAATTGGTGGGCTAATCCAAATAATGGTATATTCAAATGGTACATTCAGAGGTCTGGATTAAAGTAACTTATTAAGTGTTCTTATCGAAATGCAGATAAGATTGTTGTATCTACCTTCGTTGAGAGATGGCATCCCGAAATGAACATCTTTCACATGTCTTTTGGTGAGATGACCATCACATTGGATGATGTGTCGTCTATTTTAAGAGTGTCACCTTGTTTTTGTTCATTCAATAGGAGTAAAGTCAAAATAGCTTATATTAAATTTGTGGTTGATAATAAGTTACTGAAAAAATAAATATATTTCGGTTCATTGCCACTGAATTGTAGGCAAAAAGTCGGTAATACACCACCGAACACCGTTCCATATTATGGTGAATCTCCACTGCATATGAAGTTAACAACCGGTGGCATCCCACCGAATTTACCTATCGTGTTCGGTACTAGTGTGCTAAATGCAACCAGCAAACCATAATGAAATCCAAAGCTTGAAAAAAGCCAAAAAATAAACTCATATCTCATTCGAAGCCTCTCTAACTTCAATCTCACCCTTCATGAATAAATACAATATATTTTTTCACCAATATAAGCGTATAAACCTATTAGGGTTGTAGAAACATGATGATTTGAGAAAAAATTGTAACTAGTGTTGCAGGAACATATGTGGGGTGTAGTGAGCAAATTTAATTTTTATTATAAATGATTTTTGTCCTTAACGGTAATTATGTACAAGGGTTAAATAAATTACTTATGTTTAAAATTAGTATAGCGTGCAAAGAGTAAATAATGGGGTGCCAATAAAATCTCCCTCACACACTTGTTAAAATATAATATATAAAAAGAGTATAGCCGCGCGGCTGTACTACGGACTTTTAAATTTTTTTTATAATAAATTGTATAGCCGATCGGCTATACTCGGGATTTTAAAAAAATTTAATAGTTAGTATAGCCGAGCGGCTATACGCTGGACTTATTTATTTATTTATTATTAAATAGTAGTGCTATTGCACGCGGGACATTTTGTTTTAAATAGTAAAGCCGCTCGGCTATACTGTTTAAATATTCATATATACAAAGATAACAGCCGGCTATGCCCTTTAAATACTTATTTAATCAAATGCAAAGTGTATGATCAGAAGTAAGAGGCTCATTTCCATACAAATTGTGTAATCATATAAGAAATATGTTTTAAGACCTACCAAGAAATCTAGTTTTGGTTGACAAAATAATTTTAGTCTTGCTAGATCTGTTGCTGATGAAGAAACAGAGCCGAATTTTTATGAAGGAGAAGGCCCATTTGCTGACCAGAAGGTTCTTTCTGATCTCGACAACTACGGAGTTCTTGGACTTGGGCAAAGAGTTTCCAAGCAGATACCTTCAAGTTCTTCAATTGGAGAAACTGGTGTGCAGCCTGTTGGTTATACTCTTGTTTCATGAAAACCTATAATACTCTGGTTTTGATGGACCATTAATGTAATGGTAGCAAGCAATGATAAATAAAGAGGTATTACTAGCTCTGTTTGATGCAGGACTTGCCAGTCTGCTTTTGTTGTTTAATTTGATACCAATGAAATCTGATTGTTGAATGTCTCTTGGTTCTTAATTATGTTTCATGATCTATTTGACTTTGGACTAACTTGAAAGCTGATGAGTTCTGGATATTATTGATATACTCATGTATGGCTTCTGGATATTATTGTACCTCCAGTTTATCCCCCACGATTCACATAGTAAACACATGAACAATTCTGAATTTATTCTTACAACAACAACAACAACAACAACAACAACAAAAAACATATCGAGCCAAGAGAGAAGGATGAGTAAAATATACAAAATAGAGAAGCATTAGATGTTGACACTGTTGTTGGGAATTCCCTTGCCAGTAAGTCCAGGCTCACTAGAAGGATGGAGCAAAGTGTATGGGATCTTGGACGGTCCAACCCGGTTCTTCAATTTATTATCCTTGTTCATTTTTATAATTCTTTTCTCAATTCCTTCCAGCTTCTTTCTAAAATCCTCAGAGGTTTGCAACATGTTTGCAGCTGTTGTCCATTCTGGGTTGTCTCTCTGCCCCAGATAAAGCTCATCAACTTGGTGCCTTGATAAGATTTCTATGGAGGCCATGCCAAGCAGGGTCTGCATCTGAGGTGTAAATGTTTTCAAGAATGCCTTGTCAGGGTTGGTTTTGAGCTCCTCATACTCAGGAGTGCCTTCTTCCGGCATGAAGCGCAGGCTTATGCTTGCCCGGTTCGGGACTTATCCACCTATAGAGTACTGGCCATAGTTGATTGCTGCATGATAGGCTGAAGAGAGCCATATGATAATGGTGCATGATTCTATCAGCTCTTCACAAGTCCGCATTTTAGGCCACCATGGTTCATCTTTATGGTAGAAGGAGCAATACTCTTTAACCCATGTTTTAATTGCAGACCATATCTCAAGCCCATCAGCAGCATATGGATAGTCCTCTATCAGTAAGCGTACACTGTGCGACGATTTTTGATCTTCAACTGCCATTCCTCTGAACATAGCAAAGAGTAGATAATTAAATGCCATCAAGCCTTTTATCTTTGTTGTTTTTGAGACTTGAGTTAAGAACATAATGACAGCATTCATCAAATCTTTTAGACCCTTTAGTTGTATTCATTTTTCCCTGTAACATTGTGTCTTAGCTCTAATATTTGAGTTGCATCCATTGCCGAAATTTTTAGATGAAAAATGTTATGGTCATAAGATTTTACCTTTTGATGAGATCCACGGGAAGTGCTTGTTCAGGAAAGACCCAGTTCTTGTACATTACAGGCGACCCGTTTTGAAAATTAAATATTATAGCCGCGCGGCTATGCTCAGTCTCTGTCTATATGAAACGTATAGCCGGACGGTTATACTCGAGATTGTTTAAATTTTTTAATTAAATAGTATAGCCGCGCGGCTATATGATTTATTAAACATTTTAAACAAACCCACGTATAGCCGGCCGGCTATACTATTTATCGAAAAAATATCGCGCAGCGTACACACCATTCCTAACCTCCCCTTCACTTTCATTCAAAACCCATAACAGCTTCCTTATTGTCCAATTAAAATCTGACACACATGCAAAAGTAATATTTCATTTAGGATGAAAGTCAAAGTAATAAAAATTCAAATGTCGCTTCGAGTTTTCCATTTTCTTTATACAATAAAAAACAGATGTACACAAATAGATCATGAAAGCTTAAGATTACTTGGAGACAACGAATGGCGACAGGATTTACTCCCATAGACCCTGTCCCATTCCTGAAGCTCTCTTGTTTTATCATCATCATCTCCTCTCAAGTTTACTAGCTCTTCTTCTCTGAATTTCTGTAGTGGCTTCGGTGTGTCACTTGAAAGATAAGTCTGCACAAATATACAAATCAACCTACTAGTTTACCATTTGCAGTATTTCTAGCAGTCCATAAACTACAACTAAATGAGTTTGTCTTAAT